CAAACTGGTATATCCTCCACAATCTGACCTGAATGACTAGACTTTCTGCTTTTTGGAAAATTGTACGAGGGGTGAATACAAATCTGGAAAAACACTAAAGAAATCAAAACCACTAGTGACTAAAACAGAGACTGCCAACTTCCTGTCCCAATTACGTAGAGCACTCTAGGCTTAACATGAAGATGGAGCAGAGGCAGCATGTGCACCCAAGGTCTCCACCAAGATAAATTTCCATGTAAGTGGGGAGTCATAGAATAGGGTAGCCCATTCATCAGAAGCAACTCTCTGGAAATACCCCAGAGGGTAACTCCAGTCACTCTTGAAATGTCCAAAAGAGTGCTCTGATGTCCCACCCTACAGTAAGTACTGAAGCTTTGCCTGCTCCTGACACCAGGCAAAAATTTCGGTAAAGACAGAAGAGGCAAAAGGGGGGAGAAGAGATTCAAGCTCTTTCTTGCTCAGTCCTACAGCCAGTTAACATAGAAGTCTCCATCTCCTAAGGGTTATTAGTATTATTACGGTGTCATGTGACACTTTATCCCTCTTGGGTTCAAGATAATGACAGTTTTCTAAGTGTGTAAGCAACTGCGTGGCTGTTGATGCAGCTGTGTTAAATGTTTTGAAAAAGCCTAAGAATGTTTTTTCGTGGTGCTCCAGCTGTAATATAAACCTGAAAATACTGCCTCTGGGCATTAACAAGAGCATTTCAATGCTCTACTGACCAGCATCTTCACTGGCAGAACAGAGACTAGCTGTGCCTGCATGATCTGGTAGCTGACAGTATCTTAGATGTAGGATTAAAGCAGAGTGCACATTCTTGGGAATAGGGGTAATTTGTGTGGAGAGATGCTATTTAATAGGCCTTGAATATAAACCCAGGGAAATGGAGGCTGCCATTGGAGGTCGCTCTGTACATAAAGTCATCTGGATTTGCTGCCTATGCTACAAAAAGAGGGTGGATAGAGAAAGATTGCAGCATAGCTTGGGCATCTGCTTGTAATCATTTGGGTTGCCCTTGCTCCTGGGCAGAAAAGTGTGAAACAGTGTAGGGGGACAAGAAAATAATGTATAGAGAACATGCTTTAGCCACATGACTATTGTGCCCATGTAATTAGAGCTAATCTAATTACATTTTTCATTGCTTGCCCAGTGGCACTGTTGGCTTCTGTTTGTGGTGGAGTCCAGCTGACCCCATGAAGCAGTCTTTTCTAATCAATGAGTGGCTGCCCTCTGTCACCTGAGATTAGGCCAGCTTTAGAAGAAATGGCAACGAACAGTGAAGCGTATGTGTCTTTGAGAAAGGTTTCATAGTAGCTTGTTCTTCTAAATGTTTCACCATTAAATATTATTTCTTCCTCAGTCCCTTAGGAGGCAGACTTTGCCAGAAAGAATTTGCCTATGTTTGGAAAGTTGCGTGAAGACTAAAGACCTGGAAAAATATACTTCATACCTGAATTCTGCAAGGGGCCCTGATCTCAGTCCCTGGTCTGTAAGATCACCAGGCTAAAGTCCTGCTGCTGTGTTCATGAAGCTGGAGCCCTGTTACGTGCATGTACCAGGCACTGTAAATAGGAGCGAGTAGCTTCAACCCTTTCTTTCCTCAAAGGAAAGCCAGCTGCTTTTCCTCGTTCCCTTGGAAGATAAACCCAATTTCCATGTCATCAGCTGAATTTCAGGTTCTACCTCTCATCTTAAAGTTTTCAAGTTAATAGTAGTAATAAGAGAAGAGGGAGCAACTAGAATAGGTGGGATTAGGCAATGCTTCCAGCCCTGGATTGAACTGCTTATACTTTTGTAGAGCTGAAGCAAAGGAAAGCTGAAGGTCCCTAGACCAGGTGTTTCCCCTCAGTTTATTTAATGCTTGAACATGTTTCAGCTGGTGAGTGCAAGGGGGAAGTGGACAGATCGTTCTCATAACTTAAAACTAAGAATAAAATTTGGTATCCTTTTTCCTCTTGGGGTTGAGGAGTGGTGGCAGATCTGTCTACAAAGCAGTTTTATTTGTTCACCAAAAAAGCTGATGGGTGAGCGGGCCAAGCCAGCCAAACTAGTGGGGGTAGTTGAGGGTGAAGGTGGAACCGATTAGGCTATGCTCAGTGCTGCATAAGGGTAGCTGGCCTCAGAGTAAGAGAGACTTCTGAGTTTAGAGAAGTCAGCTGTCCTAGACATAGATGCCTATGCCCAGGGTTTGAACAAAAGCTATTTTTGGTGAAGGTCTTCTTGGATGTCATCTTTGTTCCCTTGTCCCTGTGACCTTTTGAGCAGGAGCATGGCAATTACTATATGGGATTGAATTTGCTTGCTTTGGCTTTTATTTCATTTGGGCTGCAAAGCAGAGGATACTTACATAGCAAAGGCTAGGTCGATTTCTGCCAATTGCTGACTCCAAGCTTGCTGGAATTTGTATAATGTGTGTTGATGCTATAGCTCTGTCCCTTGCGCTGAAAACTCTTTGTCAACCATGCAATGCTGAGATTTTGTTAGGTATTAATTAAGTTACGGGTATGTATAGGATGCCATGTGTTGCTAGGAGGGATGCAGATTCTTTGTATGTGACCCAATTTGCAGTAGGTTTGGGTGTGACAAACAAGGTATCTGAACACAAGGGTTGTTTGCTGAGTCACCCTCCCAAAAAGAAGGTGAAGCTGAGGATGTCAAAGCAGTTGTTTGGCTTGGGTTCTCAGTGAGATATTTTTGCCTGCATGTCTGTCTAACATGCTGGCCATGGTTTTGTTCTTGTTTTTTCTCAGCTTTTTGGTGCGCTTTTTTAGTAGTGTTCAAAAGCAAGGCACTGAAAAAAAGAACCAAATCTTAAGGAAACAGGGCAAGAAGAATATTTGCCTGCTGTGCAAATATTCTGGGCAATGACTGGGTACCAGGCAAAAATTTCAATAAAGGCAGAAGAGGCAAAAGCGGGGAGAAGAGATTCAAGCTCTTTCTTGCTCAGTCCTACAGCCAGTTAACATAAAGTCTCCATCTCCTAAGGATTATTAGTATTATTACGGTGTCCTGTGACACTTCATCCCTCTTGGGTTCAAGATAATGGTAGTTCTCTAAGCATGTAAAACCCCGAGATGTCTATCAAGATCTGCTAATTAAAGTAGACTCATTTAGAGAATGTGCCTGTCATGAAACACCACAGCAATTCCTCTCTGAGCTTTGAAAACCAGTTCTTCAAGAGTCAAACTCCTGGAAAGAGACCACATTGTCTTTCCTCCTTCCCTGCATAAAATCTGCTGGAGAACTGGTGCTGGTATTCAGTGTTGTGCTCCTTCTCTTCAGTGTGTTCTGCTCTTGCCAGAAACCATTTTATTCAGGCTGAGCATGCTCACTCTTAGCAAGCCCTGAAGAAGAGGAAAACAGAGAGAGAGGAAAAAGGTGGGGTGGCATTTGCTCACGCTGTTGTTTGCATGGCGGATGGGCATGAGCTGGTGAAAACTGGGGGCTGTTGATGCAAGTTAATACACACCTCTTGAAACTACCCAGCTTTTCTGTAGCTGACCAAAATATGCACTGTGCTCAGAACTGTAGTTGCAGGCACATTTTCTTGGAGCCAGGCACTTGACACCATTGAAACTGGAGTCAGTGGTGCTTCACTCCCCATGTCGAAGACTGATACCATGCTGCATCTGCACTAAGTAACTTCATGTGATGAGCCCATTGGTCCAAACACTGCTTTGGCAGAGCTCATGATGAGGGAACATTTGTCTGCACCTGTTGGAAGATAGTTTTTGCCTGGCCCAATGACTTCATGATACTAGTCCTTATGGTGAGGGGGTATCAGCCAGCTTCCCAAAATACCTTCCCACTCTTTTGGTTTGCTGGTCCATGGCAGGAAGGAGAGGGCTTTGGTTCAGGTTTTTTGCTTCCAGGGAAGACGCGTGCCCTGGGCTTTTTCACATCAGTTGGCCTCTTTCAACATCAGACAAGCAGGATATTACGGAGTTGGTGCAGGTAGAGCAAAAGTTCCGGTTTTCGAATAGAGAACTAGAAATGAGGTGATGAAAGGGAAAGCAAGAGCTCAGACTGTCTTCTCTGGTACTTGGGGCTCCCCTTTTGGCACTCTTTGGGAACTTGGGGAAGGATGCAGCTGAACTCTGTGGGGCTGAGACCTCCCACCTGCCTTTCCCACAACTACTTAAATATTTAGTCCAATGCCTTTTATCTTAAACCAGCATCTCCCCTAACATTCTCTTTCTCCTGCTTTTGTTCCTGATCTGTATTTTAACACTTGCATTCATTTGCAAAGGTGAGGAATAGGACCCTTCCCGCTTTCTTGGCTTTTAGCTTGCATCCCATTCTTTTCACTAGTGCTTTCCCACTAACTTGAATGCCCTCCCTCCTGGTCACAGCCTTTCTAGAAGTGATAGAAAGTACTCTGTGCAGAGTTTTCCAAAGCATTTTGATTTGTGGAACTCCTAACATGTTTCCAGTTAAATTGCAGATTCCTCTATAGAAAAACTCCCTCTAAATCATAAAAAGTATAAACTGCACAACAATTCTGGTAATTTTGTCATCTCTGGTATGCTCCCTGCTTATCCTATGACATAAAAATACAGATTGGGTATTTAGGGTGCTGGTTCCAAGCCACCTTTTTCCTTCCCTTTCTCACCATCCCTCCCTACTTTTTTGCACATACCTGTTAGGGGGTTTTGGTGGCGCAGCAGGCAACCAGATGTTAACAAGCATCCTGGCTCTGGCTTACAGCAGTCCTACCGCCAGTGCTTAACTGAGCATAGTGGTTCAGGTCAAATCCATTGTACATCTGGTCTGTGCATACTTTTTGAAATGTGGATGCTTTTTTTTTAATGCTGACTGAAGGATGCTAAGTGCTTTTAGACCAGAGTTTATAAAAGAGAAATAACTGAGATACCTGGAGCTCGCTAGTTTCCAGGAGGGAGACTAATCCAGGATAATTCTTACTATTAGGAGAAAATTACTCGCTTGTTATTTTTGAAGTACGTAATAGTAATAGATTTCCATTTACCCTCGTCGGTGGCCCAGGGCTTCCTGCTGCTGCTGAACAAAAAAAAAAACCATCAGTTTTGTTTCAAAGAGGAAAGAAAAAACAAAAGACTCCATCCATGGTAGCTGTAGTAGGGATCGACATGTTACCCTGGCTGGTGCGGCATGCACACCCAGGAGCGACATGAAATTTGGCTCAGTTCTGCTGCAGATGAATGCTGTAACTTCCCATGGAAACTACTGGATTGATTCTCCACCTTTGGCTACAGGTAATTGCTTTGCCTCATGCAATTACATGGGGTAATTAAAAGTGGATTATACAAGGAATAGCAAAAGCCATCTGTGCATCCTCTGTGTTTGTGGTCTGTTCCTTTAAGAGTAATTATGATTTTTTTTTTTTTTTTTTTTTAGTCCAGCCTGTCTTGCTTTCTACCCAGCTGATCAGTATGGCATAGGAAGGGAAAATAAAAGTATACTTTCAGCATGTTACTGAACTCTCCTTTTTACAGCACGCTATCTAGTACAAGCCCTTATTGGAACTGCAGTGGAAGAGCAGAATGATTTAAGGACTCTAAAATTCACGTTTTCTTCCAGCCTGATATTTTGAGGGACAGAAGGCAGACCTCTGAAACAGATGCAGCTCAGTAAATGACAAACACATTTTGGTTGGCTCAGAATATATTGAGGCAGTTACCTTGTGCTCTCTCTTTAATATTTTGTTTTTCTACATAAAGTGGTACTTTTTTGAAAGGTGAAAAGTAGCAGGGTACACACAGTTTCTCTAATAAAGGTTTATAAAGTTCCCACAGATCCATTACTTGAGAAGTGCTATTGTGCTGCTATGCTTAATGAAAGATCAGTCAGGTAAATTGCTCCTGGGATTCAACTTAATTACATGCAAGAGATGGAAACTTTGTTATCAAAGACTAATAAAATATCAGGTGGTTTTAATGAAGTCAATAAGGTGCCAGTTTTAAACTGAAACCTGCTTGCTTAATAATAGAAAAGACACTAGATTTGAGCAAGATGTTTTATAAGCAGCATGTCACTTCTCCACTGCAAAGCAAGACACGTGTTTTAAGCTGTCTTAGCAAGAAACATTAAGTTCATTGTCAGTGTTTATCCTCTAAGCCTCAGACTGAAGAGCCTATAGCTGGAGGAGATTTCTTATTGAAAAATTCTTTTAGTCTGAAACTCAGCATATGATGACTACGGTGATTTTTCTTAATGCTTGCAAAGCCGTTTATCCAGATACGTAATTGAAATCAGGAGATGCCTCGGAATCACATGGCTGTGACTGATACTAAATTTAAAAATGTTAAATAAGTAAAGACGCTTAAAGTTTTAGACCTTAACGTTGACCCATTTTATAATCATTTGGATGTTTTCCTATAAATTCATAAAATTTTGGGTTCATTGTTACACTGAGAATAACTTGCCTTCCTTGCCAGTCCTGCAAATTTTTTTTGTGGTACAGTAAAATTAATATGAGTATTCCAGCTGTATTCATAAATACTGCAAACTGGTAGATTGTTCAAGGCACTGGGGCATATTTAATTAAAAAAAGAAAAAAATAATATTAAAAAATCCCCATTTTTTAAAAGTACATGTTAACATTAACAGTACCCTGCAGGATTCCTGATCTCATGGGGATCAGTTTTTGTTCCACGTGTGCTTTTGGGGGCCAGTTCATGTTTTACAGGGTGACGTTAAGCCATGCCTGGGCACAAGTTGCAGAACCAGCGGCCGGGGAGGGCAGTGGGCTGTCTGGTGGGACTTCCTGGTGGAGAATTGCCAGGCTGGTCCAAGCAGGCTGCTTCTGCCCTGTGAACAGGGGACTTCCCCAACACACGCACTCTGATGTCAGTCCCGCATATTTCATCAATACTAATTTCCACTTAAAACACGAAGCTGTTGTACTCCAGGGAAGACCCAGGTTGATTCAGCAGTTGACAGGCCAGCACCTGATTTGCAGAGAAAGGGCAGAGCTGCTGTCACTGCTGCCTGGTGCTCTGCTGCTGGCTTGGTGTGCGGCGATGTTGCCTTTCGGTCCGTTTGCCTCTGCAAAAATCAGTAACTAGTTCTGTCAGGAGCCCTGATGAACATCAGGAGCCTCATGCTTATTTCTCTCAGTATCTTTCACAAATGACTTAAATATTAGAAGAGGATACTTTGCTCTCCCAACCAGTGGGCTTGTCCCACCAGTCCCGCAGGCTGACTGATTGGGGATGGAGGTGTTTGCCACAAATTGAAAGAAAAAAACCTGATTTTCTACAACTTCTGCCTTTAAACTGAAGGTTTTCATGTCAAGCTTTCTCTGCCATTTATCAGATGTATTGAGAGATTCATACCACTTTTCCTCAGCTGGCATCCCGGTGTTAGATTTCTTCTCTGTGATGAGAGCTGCCCAGTGGACCACTGGACTGGAGACAAAGGAGGTAACGTAGCGTTTCTCGTACAGAGCACTGCACGTGAGGAAGTGTAGCCAAACAACCTTAAAAAAAAGCAGGGCCAAATCTATTCCCAAGAGTGGTGGGGGGGGTGGAAAGCAGGATAACCTGGTGGACTGAGAGGACTGGGGCACAGGGATTTCTGCCCCTCTGCTCCTGTGGCTGCATGCCATTTAGGGTAAACGTTATATATTAGAACAGTTAGCAGTTGCCTTATAGCTTTTGTCACAGAAGATCCTGATGGTGCCTCTTGGTTTGCATGTTGATCATGAGATGTTTGGATCTGGCTTGTAAGCACTCCTGATGCCAGAAACTTGGGACCGACTTGTCTCCATTTGAGCTCCTAAAATGAGGGGCTGTTTTGGAAATGCTGTCCCTTATCTCTGTGTGAGATAAAACTTGCAATCCCACTGTAACTTTTATCCACCCGGCGAGATGCTGGGAGGACTGAGCTGCTGTAAATACTGAACAATGGCAAGTCAGCACTATGAGCAATTGTTGTTGTGAGTCAACGTTGAATCCCTGCCAAAGATGCCTTTTGCAAATAAAATTTAGCACTAATTTATCAATGGGTTAGTTCATAACGTGATGTAAAGCACTCAGTATGTAATGAGTCCTTCTGGATTGAAAGAAAATGCTCATAATGACTTTATTATAAATAAATAGTATGTTTAAGTGGACCAGATCAATGTAAAGGTATTGCTGTGTTTCTCCACTGATGGTTTGCTACTTTCCGTACTACCCACGGCTGGCAGAGAGGGTTTTGCTAATGGTTGGCTTCCATTTTGTTACCTTAATGAAACTGTCAACAGATGTTCTTTACTCCTCGCTGTGCAAGTGCTGCAGTGAATCCCAGGTACAGCCAGGTAATGCCCCGCTGTTCCTGCTGTTTGGAGCGCCTTCATATCCGCAGCCCCTCGCAGGCAGCTCTGCTCCCTGCTGCTCCCCAACCAGCATCCAGTGGTGCAAAGCCAGAATCAGTGGCACAAAATCGACCGCCTGAAATTCCCTTCTGCATGCCACACTCTGCTTTTGTCAGGAAGGGCTTTTGCTAGATCATAGTCCCCATGATGAAGGCAATCCATCTGTCCTGCTGCCCAGAGCTGATCCTAGGGGAGAGGCCATTGGAATGCTCTCGGGTTCCTCCATGGGTTTTGGTCTCAGGCCTTGCAATGAATGGCAGCTGGGTTTTTCCCACCTTTCCCCCGAGTAACCTCTGCTCTCTGTGTGCATCTGCTCCAGGCTGGTGCATCTTCAGGCTTGGTGGGTTGTTTTAGTTTTGGTTTATTTTGTTGGGTTTTGGGTGGTGGTTTGTTGTTTTGTTTTGTTTTTTTTCCCATTTCCTGACCTCATTTCAGCCGTGCTGCTTGGCAGTACCGAGAACCAGGGCTTCCCGGGGCTGCTTGCACCCTCTGTATCCTCAAACCTGTGGAGGGGTTCGAGAGCTGCGGCCGGGGGCCGGCGGAGGGGGCAAACAGCTCTCGGCTGAGGTTGGGAAGCGGCCGGGGATGCTGTGGGCAGGCAGATCCCTCGGGACGCTTTTGTCGCCCGGGACTCAGGCGGCGCAT